ATCTGCAGCAAGGACAGAAAATCCACGGTCAAGGACAAAGCCCTAGGGGGAAGAACGAGGAGAAGCCCAAATGTGCAGGGATGAGGAAAAACAGAAAAGGCTTGCCGCTTAATGTTCTCAAAGCCAGGCACGGTGGCTCATGCATGTAATGCCAGTGTTCAGGGGGCTGAAGCACAGGACTGATGTGAGTTCAAGACCAGCCTGGGCGACAGTGTAAAACCGTTGAGAGAGAGAGAGAGAGAGAGAGAGAGAGAGAGAGAGAGAGAGTCATGGAAGAGGAGGCAGAAAGAACGTAAGAGCTAGAAGAAGGGAGGAAGTGTGCAGGCGTGACAGGGCCATTGCTCTCTTAGACCCATGCAGCTGTTGTTACCTGCACAAGACTGTGCCTGTGGATATCCTGTCATGGAGTCGGGAGTGACTCATGAGGCCCCACCTGTCCCAGAGGAGCTATAGGTGACTAACTCATTACTGGAGGAAAGGGGCATTTTCTTCAAGGTGTAGCCTCTGGTAAAGTGCCCGTGATCCCACAAATAGCCCCTCACCAAGCTCTTGGGTGACCCTAATGAAGCTCATCAACACATAAAAAGGACACAAAAGCAGATGAGAGAAGATAGAAATCAGTAGAAGAGGACAAGAGAGGGTACTGAGGGCAAGTTAGGACAAATATGTATGAGTATGAAAATATCATAATGAAACCCATTACAATGTATAGCTAAAGCATGTTAATAAAAAGAAACTGGGAGGGGGCAGAGATGTGGCTCAGTGGTTAAGAGCACTTGCTGCTCTCCCAGAGGACCTGGGTTCGATTCCCAGCACCTACAAGGCAGCTCACAGCCATCTGTAACTCCAGTCCAGGGGATCCAACACCTTCTGGACTCTTTAGGCACTGTGTACACATGCACACAAACAAGGAAAACAGCCATACACATGAAATAAATAAATAAAATGTTTTAAAAACAATCAAACTTTAAAACATTTCAACTTCTAAATATTTATTTATCTATTTATCTATTTATTTATTGCATTGGTATTTTATACTACATGTATGTCTGGTGCCCTTTGAGATCAGAAGAGAGTGTTAGATGCTCTGGACTTGGAGTTACCAACAGTTTGGGGCTGCCATGTGGGTGCTGGGAAGTGAACCCTGGTCCCCTACAAGAGCAGCCAGTGCCCTCAACTGCGGAGCCATCTCTCCAGCCCCACATTTTAAAATCTGTAATACTGTGAGGACAGTCTCGTTCTAGATGACTTTCTGAAGTATGGTTCAGAGCTGTGTCCTGGCACTGGACAGCTGTAATGGAGCTCACACTGTGAGAAGCCCGCTGACTTCTCTTGCATACAAAATACACAATACCCTGCCCAGCTGGCACATGCTGTAACTCCAGTACCCAGGAGACTGAAGCAAGAGAATCAGGAGTTCAAGGCCAGCCTGGGTTACACAGAAAAATTCTGTCTGGTTATAAAAAATCCGTGCCAGAGACAACACTGAGGTAAACATGACAGTGCCGTCCTCTGGGAAAGGATGTTACACCTTCGCTACTTCACAGGATGTTGGTCTCACTGTAAAGTCTGGATGACATTTGGACTCTTTGAGCAGTTGGAACGTCCTTTTAACCTGGAGACAGATGTAGAGGGACGGTGGACTTGAATGCACTGGGGTACCACATATTCATTCTTACACAATTCTTGACAGGGTATCAACATTCTCTGTTTCCACTTTTTCTCCAGACCTGAGATTTCTGAGAGCCTTCTAGAGGCTGAGGAAGCAGTCTGTCACTGAGCTATAGCCCCAAACCTTTTTTCTGATTTTTTTTAAAAATATAGAATCTTTTGTATCTCAAGCTACCCTTGAATTCCCGATCCTCCTGCCTCTACCTCCTTAGTATCAGAGTTACAGGTATGTGCTGCCATGCCAGAATTCCAAACCCTCTTTTTAAAAAAAAAATGGGGGGAAAGAGGGCTCTTTCTCTACATAGCTCTGGCTGTCCTGGAACTCACTCTGTAGACCAGGCTGGCCTCAAACTCACAGAGATCCGTCTGCCTCTGCCTCCTGAGTGCTGAGCATAAAGGCATTTGCCACTACACCGGGCTTCAATTTGTATTTATGATTTATTATTATTGTGCGTGTGTGTGTGTGTGTGTGTGTGTGTGTGTGTGTGTGTGTGTGTGTGTGCATGATGGGGGTCATGAGGTCAAGGTCAGAGGACAAGCTTATGGGGTCGTTTACGCCTACCTTTACATGGACCCTGGGGCTCGAACATGGGGTTGCATGGCAACCATCTCACAGACTGAACTATCTCACCAACTCTCTTTTACTTTTAATTTAGAGACAGGCTCTTACTAGGTTGCCCATGCTGATCTTGCATTCACAGTCTCCTGCCTCTGCCTCCCAAGTGTGCGGGATTACAGGCCTGTACCACTGAGACCAGATCCTTAGCTTAAATGAAGATAATGGTACCTACCTTGTAGGGTTGAGCTGAAGATTTTGTTAAAGTAAGTGAGCCTTCTGATACAGTACAAATTTCACAGCGGTTCTCAGCAGATTACTGCCCATTATCTATTATCTATCACCATTACCACCACTAACATGATAAAATGTTGGCATTTCACCAAGGCAATTCATGGACAGACCCAGGACAAGTCCATACGTGTTAAAGGCAAGGCCTGGGAGAGGTGGCACATGCCTGCAGACTGAACGGGGAGACTTGAGAGTTGGAAACAGGCCTGCCTGGGATGCACAGTAAAACCACGACTCAGAACAAGAGAGAACGGAATCTTCACCTAATACATTGTGTATTAGATGTGTAATACACTTTTCCTGCTTCTCACCTTTTAGTGGGGTCAGTAAGTCATATACTGAGAGTGACGTCTTACCTATGGCAGCGTAATACGCAGCAAAGCCGGTGAACCGTTCTTCGTTGGAGAAGTCTGACTTAAAGATCACCTGGAGTTTATTGTATGGGATTTGAAAGTCTTCCACAATGGGGGAATCAGGGTTCTTGCTGACCCTCTGTCCACAGAGTCTCCCTTCCTCAACGCCTCCTGAGATTATCTAAGAGATAAAATTAGAACCAAATTTAAAAGTAAAAACGGACGGAGAGAATAAAACCTTTATTCCCGATCTCCGTGTTAACCCCCACCCCGCCCCCAGTGCTGTGGGTCAAACTCAGGAACTTGTGCATCCAAGACAAGTTCTCTACCACTGAGCCATGCCCCCAACCCATAGGACAGCTTGACACCACAATGCCCCCCAACATCCTTCGCATTCCTCCATCCCCTCGACCCTTCCATCTCTCTTCCTCCTACGCTCGTAATATACCTGCACTGAGTCATATTCGCAGTTCTCCGACAGCTCCATGTCCAGATGGGTGAAGTAGAGGTGGATCCCAAACCCTTCTGGAACTTCTATGTCCCACGTTTTCTCGATCTCATTGGGGTACGCCTGAGGATAGTTAGGGGACAGGATCTCCCCACGCATGGTAGGCTCAGCAGAAACTGATGCCAAAACAGAAAACAGGACAAACCACCTGGAGGGGGGGAAACCACAGAGAAGTGGGGAACGCAGGTACCAATGGCTTCGTGCAGAACTCTGGCATCTGTCAGCAGGAGACCGAAGGGGAAGGAAAAGGCAGCCGATGTGCCACGGTACAGACTAAGCTTGGACTAAATATATAAAAAGTCAAAACGCAGGCTTCAGATCTGAGCTCTATCTTGAGAAAAACGGGAAGCCACACATGGCGGGCCTTTGTGTAAGCCCCACACTCTGGGGACCGAGGAAAGATAGTGAGTTCCGGGCCAGCCTGGGCTACAAAGTGAGACCCTGTCTCAAAAATATGCAAGAGTCCAAGAAATTGCGGGTGGAGTTCATGCACATTTCTGTAGGTACCTGGCCACTTACCACGTCTCTGGCGATTTGCCCATGGCTCTCTGGCTCTCTGGACCTCTGACCTTGGAGCTAAAGGGCGCCTGGCCTGGCTGTCTTTATCCAACAAATACAGGCACCTGCTTTGGTGTTGAGGGGCGTCCCAGGGCTCAGTGTCACCTTTGAGAGAATACCATATAGATAAGTTCCTATCAGTAACTGTCACTACCTGGCCTCTCACATCTTCCTGGTGCCATTTCGGCTAACGTCCTAGACCAGACTGTCTTACCCCCTCCCTTTCCTGCCTCGAGCCATCTACCAATTCTTCTGCAAATGAATGAGGAGTTTGTCCCTGTCTTTGGTGTTGCCCTCCACCAGCTCATGGCCCCTCACATGGGCTGCTCTGTGAGCAGGTCTGGAGCTCTGTGAGCTCCACCCAGGTCTGTCCATCCTGAATACCGACCTGGAACCCTTCCATCCTCTTTCCGAACAATCCCCTGTCATTCAAGCCAGCCTCAGTGACATGCTTATTGCAGGTGCTCCTGCAGATGTCCCGATGGCCATTGATGGAGCAAAGAGCCTCTTTCCATAGGGGGGGAAGGGACCTGGGGGAAGCCTAATCAGGAGGAAAGCGCTGCCCCTGCTGGGCAGGGTGGCACCAGTAAGGGAGAAGGGGACAGCTGACAGAGAGACATCAGAACAAGAGGGTCCTTAAAAAAAAAAAAAAAGATGTCTTCCCATAGTTCCCAGAAAAGTCTGTCACAAACTGCTTTCACCCCTGAACACAGTGCTATGTGGAAAGATGAAGCTGGTGTTGGGATGGGGTTCAGCATATGAGAAACCGCGTCTATACTCTGCCCTTGTTCTGAGATCCTTCCAACCCTCCAACTTTGTTCCAAGCCTTGCTCTACACGCTCTCCCGTCTTGTCCTGCTCCTCCATCAAAGCTTTGCTCTTCATGGTTTGCGTTTTAAAGTTGTTACCTTCAGGAGCTGATGGGAACAAGTGGGTCAGTCTCCTCTCCTGGCACTGGCCATGCTGGGAAGACCCTGGCGGCTCCAGAGGAGTCGGCCTCTGCAGGAACCTCCTCCCGACTTCCCAGATCAGTCTGCTCCTAGGATTCCCTACCCGCTTGTGTGTCCGCCCTCCGAAATTCCCTGTTTCCAAACAGAGGGGGCTGGGAGACCACAACATGACAGGACAGGGGACTCAGTCTTGATCTTAGAGCTCCCTCTGGTTTTAAAACAAGAACTGCATCAGCCTCCCTGGGCCGAGAGATCCCGCTATCCAGAGTTCTGAGAAAAGAGGAATGGGGAATTCTGAGATTGCCTAATTCGCTCTTTCAGCCAAAGGGTGTGTGTGTTCCAGAGCTTTCGGCGAAGTCAGGTGATTTATTTTAAAAGCGGGGAGGGGTTGATGGAAGGGGGAAAGCTAAACTCAGAAAGTCCAACCCTCTCTCTGTGTGAGTCACTAATAAGGAGAGCCATCAGAGGAAGGGGAAGCCACTATCTGAAGGCAAGATGGCTCAGCTTGGAAAGGTGCCTGCCTCCAAGCCCAAGGACTTGAATTCTACCCTCTCTGGGACCCGAATCATAGGAGAAAACCAACTCCTGCAAGTTGTCCTCTGAGACAACATAAATGCAATTAATGTTTTTAAATTTAAAAAATAGGTGCAGCTCCTTATTCTTATCCTGCCTTTGAGGCAATTTTAGTGGTCGAATGACAGCTTACTCCTAGACTGTCGATGTCATGGGCTCATGCATTTTCTTTGCCCCCCCCCCAAAAAAAAAACCCAAACAAACAAACAGAAAAAAACATCTCAAGGCTAGGCAAGGCTGCACCAGGATTGCTGAGAAATTGAGTCTAGCCTGGGCTCCATAGACAGTATCAGGCCAGCTAGTGCTACATAATAAATGTGTTTCTTGTTCAATCTGATGCACAGCTGTGACCCCAGTACTCAGGAAATGAAGCCAGGAGCTATCAGAAGCTCAAGGCCAGTCTTCCCTTACATAGTCAGTTGAGATCAGCCTCTACCTGGGATCACTAAAGGGAAGGGGGAAGGGATAGGGAGGGAGGGAGGCAGGAGGGGGGGGTGAATTCCATTACAAGACCACCTACTGGGGTTGGGGATTTAGCTCAGTGGTAGAGTGCTTGCCTAGCAAGTGCAAGGCCCTGGGTTCAGTCCTCAGCTCCAAAAAAAAGGTCCACCTACTAATGAGCTACAACCCAGAGTCACCAAACCGTGACCCTGGGGTCAGATGCATCATTTTACAAGGCAGTACAGCTCCAGGGACCAAAAGCAGTACTGCCCCACCCCAGGGCTGTGATAACAGCCGCTATCAAGATCTGCACACACTGCTCTCCACGTCTTCCTGAGGGCTAAGATGTGGACCGGGTGAAGCAAGGTGTCTGTGCACATGGCTTACCTCCAGTTACCCAGAGCTAGACCTGCAGTTATAGGGCAAGCTCAAGCTTGATGTTACCAGGGCTTGCCCCAAGTGGGGTCCTTTTTCCTTCTGGAACCATAGAACAAATGACAAGAGAGAGCATCAGCCCGCCAGCGAAGGGGACACCGACTATGGTGTAAGCCCGACCGTCACAAGGCATGGGCAAGAGGATCACCAGCGCTAGCCAGTGTGGTCCACACAGAGAGTGTGTTCACACAGTGACCCTGTCCCACAAACACACAGGAAGAGACGTGGGAGACAAGCTCTCAGAAAAGAGTAGGACTGCAGAGACGGCCCACTTAAGGGTGCCTGCTGCTCTTGCTGATGACCAGGGTTCAATCCCCAGCACCACGCTGGGTGGCTCAGAACTGCCTGTCACCCCAGCTCCAGAATGGGTGGCCCAGAACTGCCTGTCACCCCAGCTCCAGGATGGGTGACTCAGAACTTCCTATCTCCCCAGCTCCAGGAGATCCCATATTCCTGTGGCACTCATACACTTGAGCACATACACATAAATAAAAATAAAATGAGCCATGGGCTGGAGACACAGTTCAATGGTTAAGAGAGTGTACTGCTCTTCCAGAAGACCCACGTTTGGTTCCCAGCACTCACGTCAGCAGCTCACAGCAAAGAGAAAGACTGAAGTCCATCCTCACCCCTGGGCTCCGTGTAACTAACAGAGCATGCATAAGAAAAGCCCACAAGTTATTTTATAAAGTCACACACACACACACACACACACACACACACACACACTCAAATGCTTTATAAAAAAAAAAGTAGGGTTGTATTATATAGTTTTGTTTGTTTGTTTGTTTTGGACTTTGTCCTAGGCTCACTAGCCCACACTATGATTGGGAGTGCCTTTCCCTGCATTAATAAGTTGTCTTTTTCCATGACCTTCTGGATATTTTCACTTTTTCTGAAGACTCCTGTCTCGGCTACTTTTCTAGGCTGTGATAAGACAATACGACCAAGGCAACTTATAGAAGAAAGAGTTTATTTAGGACTTACAGTTCAGAGGGTCAGAGTCCATGACCATCGCGGTGGAGAGCATGGCTGCAAGCAGGCATGGCCCTGAAGCAGTAGCTGAGAGCTCACATCTAGAGACACAACCGCAAGGCAGAAAGTGTTACCTGGGAAAGGTGTATGAAAGCTCAAAGCCCATGCCCAGAGGTACACCTCCTCCAGGAAGGCCACACCTCCTAATCCTTCCCAGACAGTTTCACCAGCTAGCAAACAAGCATTCAAATATATGAGCCTATGGGGTCCGTTCTCATTCAAAGTACCACAGCCCCTCTTTGGACACGCAGCTGCTCACTACCCTCCATTTACTCAACATGCCAGCTTTCCTGGACCTTGATGAAGCCGGAGTTTTCTCTAGTTCTGCTTTGGCCTGCAGCTGCTCAGACCCAAATAAACATACAGATGCTTATATTATTTAAACTGTTTGGCCTTATGGCTCAGGCTTCTTGTTATCTAGTTCTTATACCTTAAATTAACCCTTTTCTATTAATCTATAAGATGCCACATGGCTCATGGCTTACTGATACTTTACATCTTTCTTCTCATGGTGGCCAGTGGCTGGCAGCATCTCCTGACTCAGCCCTCCTGTTCCCAGAATTCTCCTTTCTCTTAGTCCCGCCTATACTTCCTGCCTGGCTACTGGTCAATTAGCACTTTATTTATTAACCAATCAGAGCAACACATTCACAGCATACAGATATCCACAGCACCCTGACTTAAAAGGCTTGACTCTTTCTCATACTCTCCCCCTCCTCCCAGCAGCTGCCAGGCTTTATGCTTGCCTGCCTTGTTTTAATCTCAAACAAAATTTCTCTATTGAAATTGCCTTCAAGCTTCCTTCTGAGTCCATTTCTAAATTCTTTTACTAACAAGGACCTGAAGAGATGGCTCAGAGGTTAAGAGCAATGGCTGCCCCTCCAGAGGACCCAGGTTTGATTTTCAGCATCCACATGGTGGCTCACAACCATCTGTAACTCCAGTTCCAGGGAACAAACACCCTCTTCTGGCCTCCTTGGGCACTGCATGCACATGGTTCACAGACACACATGCAGGCAATACATCTATACATGTGAAATAAAAATAAATAAATCTTAAAAAGATTAAAGATCCAAAAAACAAACAAACAAATAACTCTAATTTCCCTGGAAATATTACCTTGATACTAGGCAGTTTATGTCAACTTTTCAGAATCCATGTCCTATGAATTTAAGCACAATTAGAAGAAATGGGTAGGGTAGAAACAGAAGAAATTATGGGAATATGGGAAGAAAGAGGAAACCCTAGCCTCCCAAGAATCTAGTGAAACTTCTTGACCCCTAAGAATTAACAATTCTTGCACAATTGGCATCTGTTGTGACAGTTGCTGACAGAGATTTGTCCAGCCTCTGTTCTCTTGCTGTGAAGAGATAACATGGCCAAGGCAACTCATATAAAAGAAACATTTGAGTGGGGACTTGTTTACAATTTTAGAGGGTTAGTTCATGAACACCGTGGTGGGAAACAGACAGGCGTGGCACTGGAGCAGTAGCTGAGAGCTTTGCATCCTGATCCACAGGCAGCAGGCAGAAAGAGAGAGAAAGATTGGGCTTGGTGGGGGCTTTTGAAACCTCAAAGTCTACCTCCAGTTATGCATCTCCTTCAAAAAAGCTACCTGTCCTAATCCTCTCAAACAGTACCACTAACTGGGGACCGAGCATTCAAATATATGAGACTATGGGGCCATTCTCATTCAAACCACCACAAGATTCTATATATAAACATGTTATAATCAAATAGCAATAGGGAATAGAGAGATGGCTCAGCAGTTAAGAGCTCCTGTTGTTCTTGCAGAGGACCCCGGTTCAATTCCCAGCACCCACATGGTAGCTCACAATCTTCCATGTAACTCTGGTTCCAGGTGATCTGACACCCTCTTCTGGCTTCTATGGGCACCAAGCATGCATATAGTACACACACACACACACACACACACACACACACACACACACACACGGGCAAAACATTCATGCACATAAAATAAATAAATCTTTAAAAAAAATTTGGCCAGGCGTTGGTGGTGCACACCTTTAATCCCAGCACTCGGAAGGCAGAGCCAGGTGGATCTCTGTGAGTTCGAGGCCAGCCTGGGCTACCAAGTGAGCTCCAAGAAAGGCGCAAAGCTACACAGAGAAACCCTGTTTTCAAAAAAAACAAAAAAAAAATTTTTTTTTGAATGGCAATGAACCATGTTCTTCCTCCTCCTCCATGTCCCTCCCTCCCTCCTCTTCCTCCCTACCCTTTTCTCTTCCTTTTCCTCCTAGTCTTCTTCTTTGCAACTGGGTCTCACAGTGTAGCCCTGGCTGACCTAGAACTTTCTGTGTAGTCCAGGCTGACCTTGAACCCATAGAGACTGCCTGCTTCTACCTCCCACATGCTGTGTGCCACCACGCCAGTCTAGGAACCTTGCTTTTAGGTCTAAGCCTATACGACCTTAAAGCATGGCCTCACTTCTCCCCCAGATATATTTCTGGGAACCTCAAAAGCAACTCCAAACCTTTGTTTACAGTAAGAATACCTTGGGACTGGAGAGATGGCTAAGAGGTTAAGAGCACTGGCTGCTCTTCCAAAGGACCTGGGTTCAGTTCCCAGCACCCACATGGTGGCTGACAAACTCCTGTAACTCTAACTCAAAGGATCCAATGCCTTTCTCTGGCCTCTGAGGGCTCCTTCACACACATGGTACACATAAACTCACACAGGGACACGCACACACATAACACTAATAAGGACGTTAATTCACTTTGAAAAGAATAGCTTACGCTGGGAATGGCCATGCTTTTAACCCCACCACTTGGGAAGCAGAGGCAGGCAGATCTCTGGGGGTCTGAGGAGAGTCTGGGCTGCATAGCAAGTCCCAGGCCAGCCAGAGCTGTAGAGTAAGACCTTGTCTAAAAATAAAGAAATAAAAGAAAATATTTTAACTAGTCCCAACCTGGCAGGAACTCTTCATATTTAAACAGAAATGGGTCCCGCCATTAGCACACTGTCCTTTGGCTACTGGCCACCGTCCCCAAAAGGATATTCCTGTGAAGAAACAAGCAGGGCACTCCATCTCTAAGCCTGCTGTCAGGCCTGCAGTAGGGTCCACTCCAGCCACGTCGAAGGCTGACTCAGCTGTACCACAGAACCCCACAAAAGCCCAGAACCCCCGTCCATCTCTCCAACAGCTGCAGTTCTAGGGAGCCGTTGGACACTAGTCAGCCTCGGTGACGACAAGATCCTGTACAGCCAGTGTGGGGAGGGATGGGGGTCCTGAGCCTGCTGGGGTTAAGGTGCTCAAAATCCTGGGGAAGCCCAAGAGTGAGGAGCTGGGACGTTCCTGCCCATGTTCCAGGCAGTGGCCACGAACCGAGAGCAAGCCACGTATGAGAACCACTCTGAGGGTCTTCCCGAGGGAAAGAGAAGCGTGGTGACGTCATAGGCACAGAGCTCCCACGGTGAGGACCACCCCGGGAGAGAGGATGACGAGGAAAGAGGTGGGGAATCTTCTGGCAGGTCCGGGGACAGCAATGGCTGTTTCAGCTGTGAGGCCTTCCTCAGCCTCTGAGCTCCACAGGTAGGCACTTCAGCCACCCCTCTCTGCCCCACCCACTTAAGAGGCAAGCATCCTCTTCACTCGGGAGCTCCGAGAACAGAGAAGAGTGTGTCCCTGTCCCGTTGCTGTGACACCTACAAATCCTGGAGTCCAGCACTTGCCCCTTGTCCCTCACAGCCGGAAGCATATTCCTGCCACTAGGCAGCCATCTAGTGTTGAAAATGAAAAGACATTTAAAAAAATTTTTTTTTAATTAAACTTCAAGGCAATGGAAAGGAGGCTCAGTGGGTTCAAAGCATTTGCTGCCAAGCCTGACTGCAGGAATTCCATCTCTGGGAATCACATGATGGAAGGAAAGAGCCAATGCCCTCAAGACGTCTTCTGACTGTGTGTGCTGTGGTACACATGTGCCCCCCACCCTGCACGCCACCTAAATGAATGAATGAATGAATGAATGAATGAATGAATAGATAGATAAATAAATAATCTATGTTTTAAAATTATATATTTTTGTGGGGGGGAGGGGGATTGTTGTTGTTTTCAAGACAGAGTTTCTCTGTGTAGCCCTGGCTACCCTTAGAACTCACTCTGTAGACCAGGCTGGCCTCAAACTCACAGAGATCTGTCTGCCTCTGCCCCCTGAGTGCTGGGATTAAAGGTGTGCACCACCACTGCCAGGGTGTTTAGTTTGTTTGTTTCTTTTTGTTTGGTTTGGTTTTTGGCTTTTCAAGATAGGGTTTCTCTGTATAACCAAGATAGTCTTTTATAAATAAATAAATAAATAAATAAATAAATAAATAAATAAATAAATAAATAAATAAATAAATAAATAAATAAATAAATAAATAAATGAAGTTTTTAACGCTCCGTCTCTGCTGCATGCTGTCTTGGAATTCGTTTCCTCGTGGAGCTGCTGAGCCCCCCTCCCTATCCATCCCTACCCCCACTGCCACTCTTGTGTGGAACTTTTTAGTGTCTATTTTCCCTTGGGACCCAAGCTTCCAGAACCCCAGTGCTGGGTTGGCTGGTGAATGCTACCTCAGAGAACATCTTCCCCAAAAGAATACTGACCTTTTTTTTCATCTTTATCTTTATTTACATATGGTTCTGCCTGCATGTCTGTCTAGGCACCATGTGCATGCAGTGCCTGAAGATGCCAGAAGGGGGCATCAGATTCCCCTGGGTCTGGAGTTCCAGACAATTGTGAACTTTCTTGTGGCTGCTGGGACTTGAACCTTGGGTCCTCTGGAAGAGAAAACAGTGCTTTTAGCGGCTGAGCCCCCTCTCCAGACTCCTGGACAGGCATTTCCTGGAATCTCTCCTGGCATTTTTGGATATGCATCTCTTTTATGGCTCCCACCACCGACTCACAAAATCACTCTGCTTTAAAGCATTTTCCTCCTGGTGGGGCTCTTTGCCCTCAGGTTGGTTTTGATACAAAAAGCCATCCAACAGGTACTTTTTGTTTTTGCTCTGAGACAGGGTCACATGTATTCCAGGCTAACTTCAAACTCACGAAGCAGCAAAGGCTAGCCTCGAACTCCTAATGCTCCTGCCTCCACTTATGAGTGCTGGGATCACGGGTGTCACCACTCCGGTCTCTCTGATACTTTTTAATTTCAATAACCAACTCTAACAACCTTAAGTTACTGGCAACACCAGCAAACTCACCTCTAATCACTCTGTAACCTTGAAATGAGTCCAGGAATTTGGAGAATTTTCCACACTGAAGCTCATGAACAAGTCACTTGAATCCAAGGTCAGACCTTCTACAGTTTCCTCCTTGGTCCTGTGTATAGAATGAAATTTGCCATCCTAGCACTCCCTACCTAAGCCCTGCCTCACACATTCAAGCTGGGTTCTCCCGGGACTCTGTTGCTCATGTGATATCTCACAGGAGGTAAGTTCTATAATGAAACATCGTCAGTAAAAAAATAAATAAATAAAAATAAAAACAGTCACATTATTCCAGGCTTGGCCACTAGCCCATGGCTCTACCGAGAGGTATTGGAGCCTTGAGACTCAGAATCTTGGGAGAGGACGTTAGATCCTGGGGCCATGCTCATCTGTCCTCAGAATCAGATCACAGACAGCAGTTTCTCCAAATGTGGTTTGTTCTGTTTTGTATTTTTGGTTTTTCGAGACAGGGTTTCTCTGTGTAACTTTTGGAGCCTGTCCTGGATCTCACTCTGTAGACCAGACTGGCCTTGAACTCACAGAGATCCGCCTGGCTCTGCCTCCCCAGTGCTGGGATTAAAGGTGTGCGCCACCACCACCCGTCACCACCACCCAGCTTCTCCAAATGTTTTGCTACTGCAAACAGAATTCTCTCTCTACTGACTGCTTATTGTCACTTCCGGGGCGAGGAGTATAGCTTGATGGGTAGAGAGCTTTCCCCGGCATGCCCAAGGCCCTGGGCTCAATCCCTAGGACCATTAAAAAAAATAATAATAAATAAGGTTCCTATCGTTTTGTTCCAATTGAAGCTAGGGTGTGCTGTGCAAACATTTTACCACTGGGCACCTCCCTAGCCCTCTTGTTAGTAGTGGGTTAGTGTTTTGTTTGGTTTTAAGATATATATATATATATATATATATATATATATATATATATGTATATATATATATGTGTGTGTGTGTGTGTGTGTGTGTGTATATCTGACTAGTGAGACAGCTCAGAAGGTGAAGCTGCTGACTGCCAAGCCTGATAACCTGAGTTCAATCCCCAGGACCTACATAATAGAACGAGAGAACTGACTCCCATAGAAGACTGTCCTCTGATCCTCACGCATATCTTACGCATCCATATACACACACACAAAATAAATAAATAAATAAATTAATTAATTAATTAATTAATTAATAAAAATAAATAAAGTTAAAATTAATTAAATTTTTATTTTATTTATTTTTTCTATCATCACCTTGATACAGTACAAATTCTTCTTTTTCATTTTTATTTATTTATTTATTTTTCTATTATCAGCTTAATACAGTACAAATTCTTATCCTAGTAGTGAAATGTTTCACTGAGACTTGCCCAGTGATTGAGTAAAACCAAAACTTATTATAAGCCACAGTCATCCTAGGGTCCCCCCTACTATATAGCCTCCCTGGTTCTGTGGGTTGCAGTCTGATTGTTCTTTGCTTTATATCTAGTATCCACTTATGAGTGAGTACATACCATGTTTGTCCTTCTGGGTTTGGGTTACCTCATCAGGATGATTTTTTTCTAGTTCCATCCATTTGCCTGCAAATTTCATGCTGTCATTGTTTTTCTCTGCTGAGTAATACTCCATTGTGTATATGTACCACATTTTCTTAATCCATTCTTTAGTTAATTAATTTAAAAGGTTTTTCTTTTAGTGTGTGTGTATGAATGTGTGTCTGTGTGCATACCATATGTGTGCATGTGCCTATGGAAGCCAGAAGAGGATGTCCGATGTCTTGAAGTTGGAGTTACAGGCAACTGTGAGCTGCCTGACCTGAGTGCTGGGAACTGAATTCAGGTCCTCTGCAAGAATACAGAGTGCCCCTAACTGCAGAGACATCTTCCCAGGTCCAGGTCCCTACCCCAATTTTGTTTTTTGGACAGGTTTTTTTTTTTTTGTTTGTTTGTTTGTTTGTTTGTTTTTTTCCGAGACAGGGTTTCTTTGTGTAGCTTTGCGCCTTTCCTGGAACTCACTTGGTAGCCCAGACTGGCCTCAAACTCACAGAGATCCGCCTGGCTCTGGATCCGCCTGGTTCTGCCTCCCAAGTGCTGGGATTAAAGGCATGCGCCGCCGCCGCCGCCGCCGCCGCCGCCGCCGCCG